GCTTCATGCCTGCTGCTCTGAGACTGTGTATCGTAATAATCATAATTGCAATGTCCCATTTGTGCTGTCAGAACCAATTGGGATTGAAGCACTTTACCCATTAAGTGTAATAATCTGCATAATTCTCAGTCTGATCCATTCACCTCAAGGCTCATAGCAGAAGTATTTGTATGTGACCAGTGTGCATTTATTTTCAGCCATTAAGCTCTGTAGACATTATTTGCCTGAGACAAAATCATCAACTTCAAAGGCAAATCTCTGCATCTATCTACAGTTGGGATCATAAGTTTACATACATCTTACAGAATCTGCAAAATGGTAACAATTAAAAAAGAGGGGTCATAAAATAGTTTTATTTCATCGTTGCAGTGTTTATTACTGCCTTGAATACGCTATTTCACACAACAGATGTTTACATGCAGTGCACAAGACAAAATGATAATAATACAATAATAAACTAATCATAATAATGAATTTGCGGTAACACTTTAGTTTAGGGACCAATTCACACTATTAACTAGTTGCTTAGCATGCACATTACTAGCATACTGACGGTTTATTAGTACTTATGAAGCATCTTAATGTCTTATTCTGCATGACCATATTTTAGATCCCATAACACTCCCCATACCTAAACTTAACAACTTCCTTATGGACTATTAATAAACAGCAAATTAGGAGTTTAATTAAAATGTGACCGAATTTACAGAAATTTTTTGAAGTTTACATGCTTGATTCTTATACAGTGTGTTATTAACTGAATGATCAGTGCAGCTGTTATTAATGCAGCTGTTAGACTAAAACTAAAATAAAATAAATTAAAGCTGAATAGAAATAAGTAATAATAATGACAAAAGCACACTGAAAACATACTCAAATGTAAGCAAAATAATAAACAAATAAATATATAAAACTGAAAATATATATATAAAAAAAAATTACTATAATAGTATATAAATAATACTAAAATAATAATAATAATAATAATAATAATAATAATAATAGAACTGGATCAACAACGTGTGCAGCAGTTGTGATGCCAAAACCCAAAAGACTAATTCTCCATGGGTTCACAATGGGATTTTTAGACAAACTGACCAACACTTTCATGAAAACCTGTCATAAATGTTGTATGCACCTGTCAAACGCAACTATTTGTATTACAGTCTAATCTAGTCCACCTTAATTAAATGTAAACAGGTATGCACTGCTGTGCTACTACAGGTATTTTGAACAATGCAACTTGAAATTGTACTAAAAAGTTATGCAGACCCTTCAGCAATTGGGGCAATTGAAAGTAAATTACTGTTCAATTTAAATTAAATTAAATAAAACATGTAGTCTTACATCTAGGGATGCACCAAAATTAAAATTCTGAGCCGAAACGGAAACCGAAAATTCTGGATGCACTTGGCTGCTTTGTAATGATTATTTATTATTTTATTAAATCATATAAAGTAATTTTGTAAGACTTTTTAAATTGAACTCAATTTTAATGATACTGAATTAAAAAAACAAAACAAAACACAAGCCAATAAAATAACCACACTTTTACTGAAAGTAACAACCAGCTGTAAAGTCTATTTTCATTAGAATGGGTTTAATGAGGTGTCCCCTCACCTTACAGTCCCACTTGCGTGTGTGTTTTTAACATTAAGCTATTAATGGCTTCATGCCTGCTGCTCTGAGACTGTGTATCGTAATAATCATAATTGCAATGTCCCATTTGTGCTGTCAGAACCAATTGGGATTGAAGCACTTTACCCATTAAGTGTAATAATCTGCATAATTCTCAGTCTGATCCATTCACCTCAAGGCTCATAGCAGAAGTATTTGTATGTGACCAGTGTGCATTTATTTTCAGCCATTAAGCTCTGTAGACATTATTTGCCTGAGACAAAATCATCAACTTCAAAGGCAAATCTCTGCATCTATCTACAGTTGGGATCATAAGTTTACATACATCTTACAGAATCTGCAAAATGGTAACAATTAAAAAAGAGGGGTCATAAAATAGTTTTATTTCATCGTTGCAGTGTTTATTACTGCCTTGAATACGCTATTTCACACAACAGATGTTTACATGCAGTGCACAAGACAAAATGATAATAATACAATAATAAACTAATCATAATAATGAATTTCCGGTAACACTTTAGTTTAGGGACCAATTCACACTATTAACTAGTTGCTTAGCATGCACATTACTAGCATACTGACGGTTTATTAGTACTTATGAAGCATCTTAATGTCTTATTCTGCATGACCATATTTTAGATCCCATAACACTCCCCATACCTAAACTTAACAACTTCCTTATGGACTATTAATAAACAGCAAATTAGGAGTTTAATTAAAATGTGACCGAATTTACAGAAATTTTTTGAAGTTTACATGCTTGATTCTTATACAGTGTGTTATTAACTGAATGATCAGTGCAGCTGTTATTAATGCAGCTGTTAGACTAAAACTAAAATAAAATAAATTAAAGCTGAATAGAAATAAGTAATAATAATGACAAAAGCACACTGAAAACATACTCAAATGTAAGCAAAATAATAAACAAATAAATATATAAAACTGAAAATATATATAAAAAAAAATTACTATAATAGTATATAAATAATACTAAAATAATAATAATAATAATAATAGAACTGGATCAACAACGTGTGCAGCAGTTGTGATGCCAAAACCCAAAAGACTAATTCTCCATGGGTTCACAATGGGATTTTTAGACAAACTGACCAACACTTTCATGAAAACCTGTCATAAATGTTGTATGCACCTGTCAAACGCAACTATTTGTATTACAGTCTAATCTAGTCCACCTTAATTAAATGTAAACAGGTATGCACTGCTGTGCTACTACAGGTATTTTGAACAATGCAACTTGAAATTGTACTAAAAAGTTATGCAGACCCTTCAGCAATTGGGGCAATTGAAAGTAAATTACTGTTCAATTTAAATTAAATTAAATAAAACATGTAGTCTTACATCTAGGGATGCACCAAAATTAAAATTCTGAGCCGAAACGGAAACCGAAAATTCTGGATGCACTTGGCTGCTTTGTAATGATTATTTATTATTTTATTAAATCATATAAAGTAATTTTGTAAGACTTTTTAAATTGAACTCAATTTTAATGATACTGAATTAAAAAAACAAAACAAAACACAAGCCAATAAAATAACCACACTTTTACTGAAAGTAACACAATAAAAATGGACAGAATTTATATTAATATTGGTAACACTTTACAATAAGGTTCATTAGTTAACTACTTTAGTTAATGAACTAAGAATGAACAATAGTTCTTCAGCATTTACTAATCTTCATATCAATTTCAGCATTTACTAATGCATTATTAAAATCAACAGTTGTGCTTGTTAACAGTTAATGCACTCTGAATTAACATGAACTAAGTGTATAACAGTATTCTCATTAACTAACATTAAGAAAGATGAATAAATACTGTAATAAATGTATTGTTCCTTGTTCGTTCATGATAGTTAATACATTAACTAATGGAACCTTATTGAAAAGTGTTAGCTTAATATTAAATATATTATTTTTATTCACCTCTATGTAACAGAATCAGATATACGGTTTTTTTTTTTGGACTAATTATCCAAACAATGTATAGTCCTACAAAGCTATTATTATCAGAGCATATGAGCAGAGCATAGCGTCACTGAAGGTAGCATTATTTTAGCAGCGTTGCCCAATACAGCTGAACTAGCCTACACCATGTTGCAGCACAGTAGCTCTACTGCAAACCGCAACAAGTATACTGCATAGAAATAGGGTATATGTCGAACATTATCTGACCAAACCCGGAAAACAGGTCTCATTGCTTCCGCTTGTCGGAGAACGTGTTAACAGCCGTATTAAATAATAGCGATATCTATGGACTTTTAAGATAATCAGTAAAACTAGCTAGCTGTTTTTATTGTTGATGTTTTATTGAATTTTTATATCTAAATGTGATAAGAATAAAAATAATAATAATTTAGATATCAGTCCGCATATGTGATGGACATTGGTTATGATCATCATTGGTATCTACTTTGAAGGCATCTTGTGTAAAACTGCTTCATATTTAACTAAGCATATGCAAAACGCTTGAACTGGAAGCAACGAGACCCGGTTAACAGAATACGAAAGTCTGTTGCACATAACCCCTATTTCCTGTCAGCGCATTATTTGAGTGGACTTTGCTTTTCCGGTGAGCATGAGCGGTACACGAGCGGAACGCACATTCGTAGATCGGAATATTGAGTTGAGCGTCAAACCGCGCCGTGACGAGGAGAGTGAAACATGTGCGCTGAACACTGCGGGGCGGGGCACGATGCGGCGCGCCATATATATTATTATTATTATTATATGTAACCTATATTTTCGGTGCATCCCTACTTACATCCCCTCCTTGTTTACAAATCCAAAGTAAGTCCATACATCCGATTTAAACGCGGACGGGGCTTTTCTGATAACTTTCCGCGATGCCACCTTCTTTATTTTACTAACTTACTGCATCCTGAAGGTGACCCAGCTGACCTCACCAGAAAAAAAACTCAACTGGATTTTAAAGAAATTGATTTTATTATTCTACCAAATAGTATAATAAAAGATCGATACTTGGCGTCCGTGTATCGATACAGTATTGCCGCGGAAAATATCGCGATACTATGCTGTATCGATTTTTCCCCCCACCCCTAATTGCTATTCGAAATAACTTATTCAAGGCAGTAATCTATCATCTTGTGCTTTATGCTTTAGTGTCTGAAGGATTGTAGAAGTCTTGAAAATTCTCTTTCATGGCATTATTCACCTCTTCCATTTTCTCTGTTGGTCATTCTTGCCTCTAGCCATTGCCTGCATAGTTTTACTTCCTCATCCTCTCATAGTCTACTTACTTCTATCTTTCCACGTCCTCTGAGTGCTTTCAGACACCCTTTGATCCCTTGTCTTTTCTCTGTGTCTGACTTCTGTCTCTTCAGACTCTAAACTCTGTCACCCCTCACCTGGATGTAGAGGAGTGCAGCGTCTCTCTGCTGCCCCGCAACCGTGAGAAGAACCGGAGCATGGACGTGCTGCCGCCCGACCGTGCGCTGGCGTTTCTAGTCTCCACCGAGGGCGACAGCAACAACTACATAAATGCGGCACTGATGGACAGCTTCCTGCAGCCGGCTGCGTTCGTGGTGACCCCTCACCCCCTCCCCACCACCACCGCTGACTTCTGGAGACTGGTGTTTGACTACGGCTGTACCTCCATCGTCATGCTCAACCAGCTCAACCAGTCCAACTCAGCCTGGGTAAGATATATTTATAGATTCCCGCCAAAATGTATTGCAGTCACGGATAAAAAAAAAGTAACAAGTGTGAAACCAAAATTTAAAAACGCAAGTAAAATTATATTGCACAAAATAAAAAAAAACGAAAGCAAAGTTTTCAGAATAGCAAACAATGGTCACGGATCAAAAAAATAATAAGTGTTAATCAAAAATTTTAGAATGCATTTAAAAATAATAATAAGCACAAATCAAAACTTTAAACACGTTTAAAATCATATTGCACAAAACTATTATAAATATTAATGCAAAATTATCCGAATTGCACACAAAATCATGTTTTCCTTGGTTATATTTATCTGTTTTTTGTGCTCTCAGACATTTTCTGCAGATATTTTTATTTTTTTTGTACGCTTGTGCTGTTTTTCCCTTCGCTCTTTATTCCACGTAAATAAGCGTCATCATTGGTCCACTAGTTCTAGATTGACAGCTCCTCCTCTAACCAATCAGCTGAAGATGGGTGGTGACGTCACTCCAACGTGCCTCATTACTGCCGATGCTCAGTGTTCAGTGTACTTGTACAGGTGAAAATGGATAACTGTCAGCTGGGGTAACATCTTTCCATGCAGGACACCGTTATATGTGTTTGTCTGTCACTGCTGTACGCCTACCTTTTTGTGCAATATAATTTTACTTGCGTTTTTAAATTTTGGTTTCACACACTGCGGGGCGGGGCACGATGCGGCGCGCCATATATATTATTATTATTATTATATGTAACCTATATTTTCGGTGCATCCCTACTTACATCCCCTCCTTGTTTACAAATCCAAAGTAAGTCCATACATCCGATTTAAACGCGGACGGGGCTTTTCTGATAACTTTCCGCGATGCCACCTTCTTTATTTTACTAACTTACTGCATCCTGAAGGTGACCCAGCTGACCTCACCAGAAAAAAAACTCAACTGGATTTTAAAGAAATTGATTTTATTATTCTACCAAATAGTATAATAAAAGATCGATACTTGGCGTCCGTGTATCGATACAGTATTGCCGCGGAAAATATCGCGATACTATGCTGTATCGATTTTTCCCCCCACCCCTAATTGCTATTCGAAATAACTTATTCAAGGCAGTAATCTATCATCTTGTGCTTTATGCTTTAGTGTCTGAAGGATTGTAGAAGTCTTGAAAATTCTCTTTCATGGCATTATTCACCTCTTCCATTTTCTCTGTTGGTCATTCTTGCCTCTAGCCATTGCCTGCATAGTTTTACTTCCTCATCCTCTCATAGTCTACTTACTTCTATCTTTCCACGTCCTCTGAGTGCTTTCAGACACCCTTTGATCCCTTGTCTTTTCTCTGTGTCTGACTTCTGTCTCTTCAGACTCTAAACTCTGTCACCCCTCACCTGGATGTAGAGGAGTGCAGCGTCTCTCTGCTGCCCCGCAACCGTGAGAAGAACCGGAGCATGGACGTGCTGCCGCCCGACCGTGCGCTGGCGTTTCTAGTCTCCACCGAGGGCGACAGCAACAACTACATAAATGCGGCACTGATGGACAGCTTCCTGCAGCCGGCTGCGTTCGTGGTGACCCCTCACCCCCTGCCCACCACCACCGCTGACTTCTGGAGACTGGTGTTTGACTACGGCTGTACCTCCATCGTCATGCTCAACCAGCTCAACCAGTCCAACTCAGCCTGGGTAAGATATATTTATAGATTCCCGCCAAAATGTATTGCAGTCACGGATAAAAAAAAAGTAACAAGTGTGAAACCAAAATTTAAAAACGCAAGTAAAATTATATTGCACAAAATAAAAAAAAACGAAAGCAAAGTTTTCAGAATAGCAAACAATGGTCACGGATCAAAAAAATAATAAGTGTTAATCAAAAATTTTAGAATGCATTTAAAAATAATAATAAGCACAAATCAAAACTTTAAACACGTTTAAAATCATATTGCACAAAACTATTATAAATATTAATGCAAAATTATCCGAATTGCACACAAAATCATGTTTTCCTTGGTTATATTTATCTGTTTTTTGTGCTCTCAGACATTTTCTGCAGATATTTTTATTTTTTTTGTACGCTTGTGCTGTTTTTCCCTTCGCTCTTTATTCCACGTAAATAAGCGTCATCATTGGTCCACTAGTTCTAGATTGACAGCTCCTCCTCTAACCAATCAGCTGAAGATGGGTGGTGACGTCACTCCAACGTGCCTCATTACTGCCGATGCTCAGTGTTCAGTGTACTTGTACAGGTGAAAATGGATAACTGTCAGCTGGGGTAACATCTTTCCATGCAGGACACCGTTATATGTGTTTGTCTGTCACTGCTGTACGCCTACCTTTTTGTGCAATATAATTTTACTTGCGTTTTTAAATTTTGGTTTCACGCTTGTTATTTTTTTTATCCTTGACTGCAATACATTTGGCGGGAATCTGATCCCATACCCATTAGCTTCCACAAAGAGGTTGCTAGTCTTCCTGGGGTCCAGAAATCAATCCAAGACAAACAGTCTTACAAATAAATAAAAACGAACCACAATTTCACTTATCACATCACAAAACTATACATCTCAGCAATCGCAGCACTTAAAATGTACATCTACAAAACTATACATCTCAGCAGTAGCAGCAGTCAAAATATACATCTACATATTTACAAGCAAATCTTCACATTTTCTTCGAAATACATATGTACAGTTACTCTTTCGTATATTTATGGGAACCATATTCCAAGCGACAGAACCACGATAAAGTACAGTCTTTTTCATTCGATTTTTTTCACAAAATTTGTTTCTACATATGAAAGTTGTCCAGGTTAAATTTAAAACTGTGAGATTTATAGCGATTTGTAATGTTTTTGACGACTGTGGTGTGAAAATAACCCCCCACAGAGCCCATAATTCTCACTTTGGGTGAACAGAAAACACACAACGTGCTTTTCATTTGAGACTCCCCACATTGATAATGTGTTTGTCTGTCTAAATTGGCAATGGAAAGGACAAACTCACCAAGATACCAACTTACCCGTGATTTCCACTCCTCTCCCCTTGTAGGCAAGCACTGTGACCCGTTCTCCATGATAAAGCATCTCTGGTCCGCATTATTCCACTGAATACAAAATCAGAGTGTGTCATCTTTAAGACTCAACTGATAATAAAATCAGTATGTGTGTGTTTGTGTTTGTGTGCGTGTGTGTGTGTGTGTGTGTGTGTGAGTTTGTGTGTTTGTGTTTGTGTGTGTGTTTGTGCGTGTGCGAGTGTGTGTGTGTGTGTGTTTGTGTGTGTGCGTGTGTGTCTGTGCGTGTGCTTTTGCATTAGTGAGGTGATCTGTACAACATTATTTAATAGTTATTTCTGCTTCCTGTCTTCCATCTGATGTGTGTGAGTGTTTTTCCAGACATTATCACACTCAATTAGTAATCTAACCTTCTAGAAATATCTCTCTGTTCTCTTTCTGCTACAGTCACTCTTTTCTGATCTGTCTGAGTGTGTTCGGATTAATATTCTTCTGCACCATGTCACTCTGTTAATACACATCACTGTGACAAGGATTTATCAATTTCTATCTCATCTATATCAGCATCTCTCTATCTCTCATTGGAAATACATTGCTGAAGCTGTTTTACGCCTGCTCGTTTCAAATAACACTGTGCTGGATTAGATCTGTCTGCAACCGGCGTGAGTGAAAATTAATTGACACATTGAGCAAATGGTAATCTGGTGGGAGATTGGAGAAACGAGCAAGTATTATTTATCTTGGTGGGCCGCAATTGGATTTTCAGTGCTGATTAGCCTATCTCTGGCGTTTCCTTGACTCCATTATCCTTTCACTGTCTATCTTCACCCTTCGCCTAATCGCAAGATGCCCATTTTCTGCTGTATATATATATATATATATATATATATATATATATGCATTTCATGCATGCATTGAATTTAATATGTATTTTCTATGATTCTATGATTATTTTCTATGATTTTATATATATATATATATATATAAAAGCTGTTTAAAATATTATTAAGAAATAGGTTCAAATTTACACTTTGCAATAATATTACATTAGTTGACATTAGATAACTACAGTAGTTAATGTGAACTTACAATGAAAAATACTATATTTGTTAATTTCATCATTAACTGAAACATTATTAAAATAAATGAATAAATACATGAATCTGCTAATGTTATTTAATATACCTGAACTAACATGAACAAACAATGAACAGTTGCATTTTTATGAATTTATGTTAAATATTAATAAATACTGTAACACGTGTATTTCTCATTGTTATTATATGTTAGTTCATGTGTTAACTACCTTAAATTACGGTGGATTAAATTCATGAATGTTAACACATTTTTAATTGTAAAGTGTTACCGGCTAATATTTGATCATGTTGTCAATATGAAATGGTATAATTCAAATATATAATGGTATTATTTATACCATGGTCTGTCTGATTACTCGATTCTGATTGGCTGGCAGGTATGCATTAAAGCCGTTTAATGCATGGGTAGTTCCAAGTCAGTTTAATCACCGTTCTGTATTAATGCGCTGCTTTAATTGATGCACAGAGTGGGAGAGAGGTCGGAGATTGCAGATCTGGCTGCGCACACACAGAAACTTATTACGACTTTTATTAATAAAATAGCATAGATACTAGATTGCTACATTATATTTCTCAGCAAGGAGGGGGTAAAATCGCTGTTTTTGAAGTAACTAAACAGCTTCATTGTTTGAGAGAGACGCGCAGACAGAGGTAATTCACACACAACTGTCATCTCTCTCGATCAATAATTAATTCAAATAAATGTTGTCTTACTGCACTATTTAATCCCTGAAGACCCTTGCTTCAGTTTGCCTACAGAGCAAACAGGTCTGTGGACGATGCAGTCAACATGGGACTGCATTATGTTCTGCAACATCTAGACAGACCAGGGACTTATGTGAGGATCCTGTTCGTGGACTTCAGCTCGGCCTTTAACACCATCATCCCAAACCTCCTCCTG